CCCCCCCCCCCCCAGTGTGTGAAAGATTCCGTTGTGCGCTGCGGTCATTAGCCTCATCGTGGTGTCCCACCTAACCCATGATTGACGTCGTCGTCCGTCTGTGTGTCTCATTCTCCCCCCCAACCCCCCCCCACCGGCCGAGAGAGAAGAACAGAATCTGAAGAAAGAAACCAAGCATAGGGAGGGTCTAAAAGTGTTGTTGTTGCCTTCACAATATGAACTGTTCCGATCTCTCTCTACCCGTACCTTCGTATGTCCGTACTGATCCACCACTCGAAGCGGTCGATTCCCGTGGTCACATCACTTACCCTACATAAGGACACAGGCTTCCCTCGTTGAGGGGAGACCCAGGTCGCAGTAGTCTTTACCCACTGCTCAGGGCTGGCAGTTCTCTTGGTTGAGATGTAGAGAGGAGAGGGTCACAGACGAGAAAGACAATAGAGTGAGTCCCGCCGAAGGGGCGAGGGAGACCAAGCCCGAGGGTCTCGGATTCCCAAGCTCTTCAGGTGGGGCTAAGAGGGACGCATCCATAGTTGGGTCTCCTGCTGATCACCCATCAGTAAGATACTCCGTGTTGGTCCTACTTTTGTATGTGCAACAACAATGGTTACAGCACTTCTACACTTGTCATTCACATAAAGGCACACTCAAATATAACTTAGGCCCGAGGGGTCCGCAAGTCAATAGAAATCAACGACAGATATTCTGGAGTCCTCCATTCCCTCTGCGCGCAATGCGAGGTAACAACCGAGGCTAGGAGTCACCATCGCAGGCCGGAGAGAAAGAGTTACACCCCCTTTGGTTCCATCTTGGAACTTCACATCGCAAGCAGAGAGAAGGCCATCTGGCACAGAACAAGAGAAAAAAAAAAGTGAACAGAGAAGAGAAATGCACGGAAAGAGGAAATAGGGTTCAAGGATTACCTACATGGACCAATGGATGCAGGAACAAAGCTTAAGGTCAAATTCAGGACCGGAGACATGGGCCTTCGAGAACGTCGACGAAGACATAGGACGGTAGACGACGAAGACGACGAGTTCAAATGTGATTGCGGCGTCGAATGCGAAGACCGTGTTCATGTAGTCGGGGAATGTCCGTGGTACAAGAAGGAGAGGGAAGTGTACGTGACTGAGCTGGGACAAATAGATGGGACGTACAGGGAGATGTTTGAGGCATGGAATAGAGAAGAAAGGACGGTAACTGTACTGGGGCATAGGAGGTGGGTTGAAAGGGCGGGGAGAGATATCGTTAGGATAGACAGACTAGGGAAGACATTTCTGAGCCACCTTTGGCACAGTAGAAAGGAACGATTGGCCATCGGTGATCGGTCCTGTGGGAACAATGCTCCGTCCTCTCGAGGACGCGTGGTCAATGGTCTAACCGCTAAGGCAGCAAAACATGAGAGCCCCCCCCTCCCCCCCCCACCGGCCCCCTCTCCCCCCTTGTCGGCATTTCTCCTGCCGGTCTTGCGCTTGCGTTGCTCTTGTGTACGGCACTACTGCAATCGTAGACCCGCCGCGATCGAGTGGTTTCGATCTGCTGGACTACTCGACCGACTTGTTGGGGTGCTCTGGGGCAC